ATTCATTTTTTCCGCACATGTGAGAATTTCAGATTCGCGTCACTCAAGGTTAGGTCACGTCAAGTGACCTTACCTCATAAAAAGTTCAAAGGCTGGCTGTAGCTATACCGACTGGGTGATCACTTTGAAACCTTCAGCGATTGATAAGAGAGAAGTATGCATTAACATTGATTGATAAGTATGTATCAAATGCATATCTCGGATTTTTTTTATATCTGTGACCTAAGGTCAGACCAATTTTGTGACCTCCCCATTAGGTATAAGTCAAAGGGAGAAAATTGAAATGCCCCTCTTTTGGACGAATGTCGTTTTAAACCCATTTAAAGGTAGTGTGCCACCTTTGAAAGATTTCCCATTTTATTTTTCCTAGGATAAGAAGCTTCTGTTTTTACCCAATATCGCAAAAAAAAATCAAAAATGGGCCTGGAATAGTGTCTTTTTCGCCTAAAAGTTTTTCGGTTTTTAGATATGTACCTATAACAACTGTAGTGGGCTCACCTGCAAACAGGCGTCGGGCAACAATCGCGAATGCGGCGCACTTGTGACAATAAGCAAAGGTCATTATAGTGTTACGACCATACGACGTACGGGAATGAGTTATCAGCTGTCTAATCGTAGACAACACAATGTCGAGCCTTAAACTGTAAGCCCGTATTGTATTGTTTCTTTTATTTGGCTGTCGAACATTATTTATGGTTTGAAATATGATTTTATGTAAAATAATTGATATGAAAAAGCCGTCTTATACAGGGGCGGATCCAGCCGATCCGTTTGGGGAGGGCAAAAGTTTCCGACCTATCCGACGACCCCTATCCACCCCGCACTGGGAGGAATGTAAGATAAATTTTGGATGGGATGCAAAATTTTCTCAAGGGGCCCCACTGAAGGTTTTGGGCCCCTTTACTTTTTCAAGCTGCCAATCATCGATTTATGAAAACCAAAAGTTAAGGAAACAATCCATACAGGATGTTATCCAAAATGTTTGCATATTTCAGTGAACCTCACAAAATCACAGCATACCTAAATAAGTGAAATGCGACAAGTTTTTTTTACTGGGTGATTTTTTCTTATGCTAACCACCACCCGCAAACCTCAAACCACTTTTCTGGATCCGCAGTGGACTTTTGAGAGCCCTACGGGTCCGCTCTTACGTACAAGCCGTAATCGCCACGCCATATGTGGAAGGCTTTTGGTGTCAATACATACATACATACATTCATACATACATACATACATACATACATACATACATACATACATACATACATACATACATACAAGACCGTAAAAAACCTCTGGAAACTGAATGACTCAATGGAGGCTCCTCCAGAGACCTTCACGACTTCTCCAGATTGAATGAGCCCCGACCAGGGTCGGTTCCTCAGAAGGTGCTGAAGGGTTTCAGAAAGCAGCGTAGGCTCGAGTCTTGAAAGTTCTTCATAGGGTTCTTCATAGGCCACCGTGGGCCCTTGGAGCCTTCGTTACAGGACTCTCAGAGGTCAGCATGACCCCTGCAGTCTGCCTGCATTGAGGCCCGATCAGAGGCCGTCGTGGGGCCCTCAGATGCCAGCGTGGGCATTTGAAGCTTGCGTTGGGTCCTAGAGGTCGTCGTGAGGGCCCTCAGGGACCGTCCGTCTCGGGCGGAATCAGTGTGGAAGTCGTTGTGAGGGCCCTTAGAAGCCTTCAAGAGGACCATCAGAGGTCAGCATGAAGATCCTTGGCCATCATGACGGTTTTCATAGGCCCTGGGCCCTCAGATATCTTTGCAAGGCCCTCAGAGGCTGTGGTAAGGCCATCAGAGTCCATCGTTAGGGCCATCAAGAGACCGTCACAGGTTCCTCAGATGCCAGCATAGCTCCTGCAGCCTGGTTGTGTTGGGGCCCTCAGAGGCCGTCGTGGGTCATCTAAAGCCCATGGGCACTCAGACCTGAGTGAGATGGGTCTAGGACCGTGTCACGAGGGCCCTCAGAGACCGACGTGGGGGCCCTCAGAGGCAGCGTAACCCCTGGAGTCTCCGTGGGGTCCTCAGATGCCGTCATGGGGCACCAAACGCGGTTCGGGACACTCCTAGCCGGTGAGGGCCCCAAAAGACCAGCATATGGCGCTCCTGACCAACAACTAGACGTCTGATGATCGGTGATCCCACATGATCGTTCGTTTCCCGATCACTGGTCTTTGGTAGAAAATGTATTTGGTGGTGTGACAGGCCTCTTATACGGCTTTTGGGGGGTGCAAAAAGCTATGTTTGCACTCCAATGTTTTTCCATGGGTCTGGAGCTGAAACCCCTGCACCCTCTATCCGCGGATTTCCGGTGCCCTTGAGCACCGAGATGACCAAGCGACTTTACAACGCCACACTATCTACATGCAATCAGTTCAGGGAGTTTGATCTATTTACAGCATTCTGGCATAAGTCATCAGCAGCGAACGTCCAGCTCCTTCCTTCGGAATGGCCGTCACCGAAAGTCCTGCTTTACGTCCAGATAGCCCTCGACGCCATATTCAATTTTATCATCTCTACATGCTTTGGGAGGGGCAAAAGGACAGTCTTGCCCACATGATTTAGCTTTGGGGAGGGCAAATGCCCATTTTGCCCTCCCCTGGATCCGCCACTGGTCTTATAAGTTATGACCCCATTTCACCACACGCAAGTGGCAGAAATGACAATGATCAGCTGACGCATTTTTCTTGGCCGAAGCCAGAGCGCGCGGCCCGACACACCACGCGTATTTGGAAATTCCGACCTCGACGAGCATCAGAAGCCACCTAACAGGCGTGTTCGAAACCGCAGGAGATGATGATGAACGGGTTTATCGAAACTTGATTGGATGAGCATATCGGTAATAGCGATTTCAGTGTGTGCATTTATTGTTCATAGTGGTGTGAAATGTGGTTGGGGTACGACCGACAACCCGTCGGGGCGAATTTCGCACTGGGGTACTCAAAATTTGAAGAATTTAAGACGTTTCCATGAGTTTTGAAGGTATGGATAAGTTCTAAAAATCCGGTTCTCCTTATCTGGGCCATTAACTCCATACCGTCCAAGAAAGCTGGCACACTACCTTTAAGCATCGCCTCATAAGTAAAAATGACACACTGACTCTGAAAATTGCACCTGTGACCCCTATGTGTGCCCCTGATCAGGTCATAAAAGGTCACTCGCAGTTTTTTTACTAGAACTTTTGATATAGACTTGCTAGCAGGGTTTCGGAGTCGTGGTAGCGCTGTTCCGACTCCGACTCCGACTCCGACTCCGGGTCTGATACGAATGGCAATGGCGGCCGCCAAAATTTTGCGTGATATGACGCCACGTGCTAGGTCTACGTGCACGGGGAGAACGCTCCTACTCTCCGGTTTCCTTCATGCAGTCACCATTTCTCCCACGTGGACGCAGCTGAATCCACAAGAGGTCAGCGGTCAGCGCGGAAACCCGCCGAAAAGCGCGAGAGGCGGCCGTATCACGAACACGAGCATCGCCATCATGTCGGTCATTCCTATGTGTACTTTTCGGAACATAAACGAAGAAAATAAAAATACAGATGTCATTTAGTCTTTGACTCGTCAAATACTTCAGATAGTGGAAGTTATAACAGGCATGCAAAATACGACTTCTAAATTATGATATAACTTGAAACTTGTTAGATCCAATTTTTGTCATTTAGAACAAAAACAAGATGAGTGCAATTTTCATCGCCGGAAGCGAATTCTACCGCGGGCAACTGGTAAAAAAAAAAACAACTGAAAAGTGATATCACAGATTCTAGTTATTTCCCGGAGTCGGAGTCGAGGCAGCTTGACCGACTCCGACTCCGACTCCGACTCCTGGCTGCTTGCCACGACTCCGGGCGACTCCGACTCCGACTCCGACTCCGACTCCGAAACCCTGCTTGCTAGAGCGGTGACAATGCGCCAGATGTGTTCAACTCGACGATGCGGATCGACTGATATGCAACATGACCCTTTCCGGTCAGGTCATGACCTTGACCCGAGGTCAAATTTTCGAAATGACCTTTCAAAGTCAACTAATAGTTCATTCGATGCGTCTCAACGAGAGGAACACGAAGCTGGCAAAGTTAATGTCGTGGCTCTCTTGAGTCAAAAGTTATTACCGAAAAAATGTTTTGTGAAAACGGTTATTTTTTATAGTTTTTTTGCCCTCTGGAAGCTAAACTGTTGACCTGAGGTCAAATCTGAGAACAATATCCAGATAGCCCTTTAAAAGATCTGTCGAATGCGCTTTTCCACGGCCTATTAGTTCCCGAGTTAGCCGTCGGGTGTTTCGAACATTATTGAAATATACAAAATTAGACCTTTGATGACCTCTAGTGACCTGACCTTTGACCTGACATTAAAAATGACGTAAGTACCTGTTTCCGCCATTATTTTTGACGCTCTTTCGACTGCAGCTTAGCGCGCGTCGCTACGTGGCCCAGTCAGACCGCCAGCTGTCCTACGTCATGGAGCGTCCTGCGTCCCAGTCTCGGGACCGACATCCTCCTAGAGGCTAGAGCTACTTAGTAAGGTTCTTAATCGCATCCTGACTATTGGTCGCTGCTCGCTAGAATCCCTATCTTGAGACCAAACCTGAACCACGCCGCTAGAAGGTTCTCTGCAGTCTCGTTGGTTCAAAATAAACACCGTCCATCTGCCAGCCGAGCGTCAGTGCGGCTCACTGCCTGTATCCGCCGCGCCTGTGTCTGACCTTGGATTCAATGTATATGCTGATGTACGCAATAACGTTAACTTGTTCCGCTCCAGAGTCCATTGAACTCAAAATTTAGATCCGGGAGAAGGCCCCGAGTCCCTTTCATCGCAGTGCCTTAACAGTGGAAAGCTTGCACGCTCGGTGAAAGGGAGCTTCAAAGTGAGCAGAGTTCATTCGCCATCTCCGCTGCAGGGTGACTGCTGAACTCGTTCCGCGCAGCACATACCATCCTCGCTCCCTCCCTCTCCGCGTTACCGGGTGGCCATGCGTTTGACGCCGCGCAGATAACACTCACGCTTTGCTGGCTCGTTGTTGGGCCGTCACGCTGAAGTGACGCGCCCCCGGCGCCACCCGGCCGGCCGCGGCTCGTAGCGGCAGTGTCATCGCGCACCGGTTCGCAGCACCACTCTCACTCCGCGGCACCACCTGTACCGTCGGCCCGCCGCCGCACCACTGGCAGCTTTGCCTGCGCCGCCCCTCGTCAGACCGACTGCCCGCCGCCGCCGCCGACCGCCGACCGCCGCCAGCTGGGCCGGTCGGTCGTGCGCCGCGCCGCGCCGGCTCGGCGTCCCTGACCATGGCGACCTTCAGCACGGGCACGGGCACGGCGCAGCGGGCGTGCACGAGTCAGCGGCACCAGAAACGGGCCGCGTGCCGACCCTACGCCGCCGCCGCCAGCTGACGCGAATCAGCTCCTTCATCGAACTGTGTCGGAAGTTCACTTGATTTGGTGTCTCCACCGAGACGCCAACTAAATGCCTCAGCGCCCGTCAGGCTGGGACGGGGTACTGACGGGCTGCAGGAGGGGGACCGGGGGCGGGGAAAGGGACTGACGGGCTGGGACGGGGTACTGACGGGCTGCCGGAGGGGGACCGGGGGCGGGGAAAGGGACTGACGGGCTGGGACGGGGAACTGACGGGCTGCCGGAGGGGGACCGGGGGCGGGGAAAGGGACTGACGGGCTGGGACGGGGTACTGACGGGCTGCCCGCTGCAGGAGGGGACCGGGGGCGGGGAAAGGGACTGACGGGCTGGGACGGGGAACTGACGGGCTGCAGGAGGGGGACCGGGGGCGGGAAAGGGACTGACGGGCTGGGACGAGGACCAGCGGCCCCCCCCAAAAATCCAGTGGGCAGATATACTTTTGAATTCTGATCAGGTTGCTCGGCCTCTCAGGGTGACAAACGGGCATTTGAGCCGCCGGAGTCCGAAGGCGGGGTTGTCAGCAATCAATTCAGCGTAGGAGAGTGAGAGGAGGAGTGAGCGAAGGTATTTTTCAGGTTTAAGCCGTTTCGGTCCGGCGAGACCTTTGCGGAGCCGGAAGGATGATAGGAGTCAGGGGGAGACATTGGTCGGGGTGGCCACCCTGGTGCGCCGCGGGGATGAGCTCTCAGCCCGTCCAGTGGATGCTGGATGCTGGACCCTGGACCCTGGACAGGCCACCCAGCCCCGCTAGTGGTTACCGCGCCGCCGCCGCATCATATAGGTCTGTTCATGAGGATAAAGGCGACCGTCCAGCCCGGATCATCGGGTTTGAGGCGTTGAGAAGGAATTGACTGTCGTGAATATGGAAAATGACGGAACGGCGACGGAGTGTATTTGCGAAGACGTGGGCCGCGTTATGTCTGGTACCGGTACGGGACGGCGGGACTGGCTGACAGACAGCCGTCAGGTAACCGGGCGGGCACCGGGCAGCCGGCGGTACCGTGTCGCTACACACGCCCCAAACACCCAGACAGATATTGGACCCAGACATTTGGAGCCCGAAAAAACCTCCATCGGTAGTGGGAGGTCTTGTTTCTTCCACCACATCATACTACGAATGATCGACTCTCTAGCCCTTCGACAGGACACATTGCTTGCTGGAACGAAAACTGCTACCTGCCTTGTAAATCCTTTGGCACACAAGTGTACAAAATGTCAGCAAGAGAGCAGCTTTCACGGCACTACAACTCCTGTTCTCGGAGCAGCGCCCGCCTCGTCGCCTTTGCACCCCCCCCCCCCCCTCCCTCAGTCGCGTCACCTGAGACTGCGCCGCCGACCTGAGCCGAGACGAGCCGACCGTCCCGCCAATCAGCGTTCAGCGACCACCGGCCCGCGGCAGTCGGCGCGTCGGCTGGTGGGGGTGGGGAAGGGGGGGGGGGAGGGGACGGCGGTCGACGAGGGCGTTACGTTACCGAGGTCCTCCCAGCTGGCAGCGCAGTGGCGATGACTGTGGCGTCTGACGCGGAGCGGTGGTGATGGTGTGTGGTTGCTGTTGTTTGGTGGTGCACCGCCGCGCCGCGCTGATCGGCTTCAGCGAACACATGACGCGCGTGCTGGACAGTGGACGGGATCATGGGAAACAGTTGGCCAAGCCGAGATCCTGGATCCTGGCTCGAGGGACGCCACGCGCCGCAATGGTAATGTACACACATACCCATGGGGGCTGACCGGGGTGCCGGCCGGAAGTGCCCAGTTTCCGGTCAGGGGCTTTTTTTCTAACTACACCGCCACCCATTAAAGGGACCCTCCCACCAGGGTTGTGCTTGACTCATGAGTCGAGTCAGAGATTTGACTCAACTCTGACTCAAATGAGTCAGGTTTGAGTCGAGTCGGATAAAATGTGGAGCTGGTGAGTTGAGTCAGAGTTGAGTCAGTAAAATAACTTTTGACATGGAGTTGAGTCAAACACATTTAGGAACATGAGTCAGCGAACTCATCTTTTTAGAAACAATATATATATATATATATATATATATATATATATAAGCTTTTCATTCTCACCCGCTTAACGACTTAGGCCTGCCCCTGCTGCCGGATTTTTTTCACCCCCCCCCCTCCGCTCAACAACTTTTTCATCTGAGTCAATTTTGAGTCAACACACTTGACTCAACAAAAAATTTGAGTCAAGTTTGAGTCAACTCATATTTTTATTGAGCCGCTTGAGTCATGAGTCGAGTCAAGGGAAAAAATCAGCTCCTTGTTTGAGTCAGAGTTGAGTCAGGGCTTTCTGAAGTTGAATGATGAGTCGAGTCGGCAATTTTTTTTAGTCGAGCACAACCTTGCCTCCCACCTTCAAAAAAGTTTATGAATTGGCATTAACCCTCGCCCGCACATGCCATTTCCCCATCCTAGAACGCACATGGGGGGGGGGGGTGTTGCCACCCCCCCCCCCCGCGCCATTTCGTTCCTGTTGGAGATAGAGCTTAGCGGTAAAGACCAAAAAGATTCTTTGGGAAGAGACGAATCCAATGATACCCAGTTTTACCTTCTCAGGTCAGTCATTGACCTTCCAGGTCAGGTCAAACTAAAAAATGTTGCTGTTTTGGGTCACCGTTGGATATCAAGTGCGTTGCTTATCAAATACCGATGACGATGCTGTTTTCTGGTGCCAGGCCAGCTAGAACCTCTTTGTCACACTACCCGACCAGAATTTTGCGGCTGAGGTCATTTCAGGTCAAGTTAGGTCAAGGTCAATTAAATGTGTTTCATGTTTGTATGTCTGTGTGTGTCTGTGTGTATACTGATGTGTGCACCGATTGTTTTTGGGTCCATATTACATGAAATCATGCTCTGAGAAGCTTTTACCAAAAATGCAGTCCAAAAAAATTCAAAAAAAAGTAAATTCAGCTTGCCTAAAACGCAATTATCTTAGATGACCTAGGTTGACCTTGACCCTGACCTTGACCCCTGTACATCGTCGAACAACATGTTCCATGATAGGTGGGAGGTAAGACTGGCAAAAAAGGCCGAAATCAGGGTGTCAAAAGCTCGCAAGGCCCATGGCAAACGCAAGATGTTGAGAATTGGCCATTTGGGTCGTGACATGACCTGAAAAACAAGGTCATATCTCCGAAACCAAAAATCACAGAAACTTGAAATTTTCAGTGGACATCAAGAAAGGATAGAGGAGCAGCTATACGAAAAATCAGCCTTCTAGCGCTAAAAATGTTGAGTGCAGAGCAGAAAGACTACCTGGGGGGGGGGGTGGCAACCACCCCCCCCCCCCCATGTGCGGGCGAGGGTTAAAGTGATGTCGCTCGGTTCAGAAAGAGCGAAAACGAATATCTACCAATTTTCACCGAAAAATATTCACCGGTTTTCAAGATATTAGACTTTTACTTTTGTTTACTTTTTGGGATCTCCGCTGTTCCTAGCGACTTTATTTGGAAGCAATAGTTTGGCAGCTGAAAGTGCGGCACTTGTTGCGCGCAAAGCAGCATATACCACCGCGTGCTACAAAACGTTGTAGTCAAACATTAAAAAATCGTAAGGTATCTGCGCTGACGTCACACATTCAGAGGGGTATTCCTATGCATTACCCTGCTGCAATTTTGAAATTCAATATTTCCGATTTAAGACATTTCTCGATGTTGTGAGTGCCGAAACCGGTAATTGTGAGCCAGGGACCCCATTTTGGCTATCTCAACTCTAATCTAATGTTAAGGTGGGAGGGTCCCTGGTCACCTATTAGGTGACCAGGAGTGCCCCCTCCCTCAGCCCAGCGACTCACAGAACCTTACTTTAACACCAGAGAAAAAAATGGCAAAGTTACGGCACTCCCTGCTAAGAAACTGAAAACAACTCAGAATAAGCAACCAGTCGGTAAGAGGAAGTCTGGTTAGTTAGAAGAAAAAAAAAAACTGAGGACAAGAGATGTCCCCGCTGAAAGCAGCGGGAGACTAAATCACTACTTCCAATACCATGTTTTATGATGTAAAAGAACACTCACTCAGGGTTAGTAGGAAGGGACACATACATACCAGAGGTAGTACAAAGCACAGGTTCTGGTCAGTATTCTGCAAAAGGTCATGTGTGACCGGATGAACCCTTCCAGCTAAGCAGAGCTTGTTGCTGGTCGGGGTCACCGGTCACAACGCCGTATGGGTGGGTTCGGTGTAAGCCACAGTCACTACAGCTGACAGGCTACGCTGCACGAGTAGAATGTGTTTGGAGAAGTTTAACAGAAAAACTACAATGCGATACAACGCATGCATATTATTCTGTTTGAAAGTACCTTATTTATTTGCATATTTTACTATTGATTATTGATCTTATGTAAACAAAAGCTATACAGGGTGCTCTAGGAAATACCTACTCCTTACTTATTTTCTTTACTTGCAATTTAGACATGTTGATAATGCATTGAGCGTTGAATTGAGTTGCCACAATTTTATTCCAGATGCGAGGCCCAAGCCATGTTACCCCAGGGGCATTCCACGTCAAATCGAACAAAAATCGGCTGTTTTGCACCTTACCATCAGCGATTTCATTATAAATTTGTGAGCGAGTTCCTGTGTGGCCCCAAACATTACATTGATGTTTTTTTGCACATTCTGACCACAGGTCTTCTAAATGTAGGGCATCACATTTTTGCAAAATGTTGCATCTTTATATTTTTGAACGACCATAACTTTGGTTGTACTTGTTTGATTTGAATGAAATAAACCTTACTGTTTAGGTAATTTCTTAAGCATTTGTTTAGAATTGCACCTACTTAAATAAATGACCTTGAAATTCGCTTAACTCTGTTCTTAAGCACAAATATTGAAATAGCAAAAAACACGTCACCTTCGATTTGGCTCATTTTCATATACTTTATTGCCTACCATATTCTTAACAACCTGTGAAAAAATTAGAGTGGGCCATTCATAAGTTTTGAAGAAAATTGCACATATGCAAACGTATGTTAGCACGCGCAGTGG